GGCTAACTCAATGATTTTGCACAACAGTATGCAAGAATTTAATAAAACAAAATGCCATGGTTTTGAAACACCTAATGAACAAAGGTATTCTCCAATTTCCTATAGACTGGCTAACTCAATGAAGAAAATAATAATAATAAAACTGAATATCTCTTGTAAAAGTAACAATGATAAAGGACAATGCCCAGATAAATACTGACAGTGCTGGACTGGTCACAGGTGAAAATGCCCCTTATTTAATGGCAGTGTCATTGGCACAAATTCTTTGGAGCCAGGGAGCAACACACAAAAGCCCTAGCTCCTTTATAAATTCGTTGACTCAAAAAGGAAAAGGAGTCTGGCTCCTTTAAGTTGTATTTGTAAGGCTCCAACATGAAGTCTTTATAATAGCCCTGCAGCATCACACAGATAACACAAAGATGAACGCAGTGTTGAAACTCCCAAAGATGATAATATTTGCGCATATATGTTTAAACTGAAGAAAAAAAAATACAAAAGCTGGCATGATGCAATGATTCGTTATACAAAACAGCACTACGTCTCTTGTTAGTTTAGGAGTTGAAGAGGAAAAACAATGAAAAAAATGTACTTCATATATTCCTATGAAACACCATTGCACTCGGCACTAAAACAAAATAAATTGTAATCCCCTTACGGAAAAAGACTAGATTTGTTTTACCAGGCACAGTCATAGTGATATGTACACAGCCTGTCTTCATGACAGCAAAATGCCACTCCTTGCAATGCTGACCACTAAGATCCTCTCCATCTTGTAACTCCAAAGTGTTTTATTTGGCTAATCACTATCTATTCGATTTGAACCTTATTGTAATATAACATACCTAATTATGTACAAGAATATAAATTAAGAGAACTCACTAACAAGCCCATGATGACAGGAGGAACCTGCATGACGTCAATAAATTACCAATTTATCATCCATATGCATAAGAGAACTCATACCAAAAACTGTCAATACTTCAAGACACTGAATAACCCCATAATGTAATTTTCCCATTAAAACAACTCAAATATCCTGTAACATCCACAACATGTAAGAAAATATGATGTCTAGCATGCGCATTAGTGAGCAAAGCAAATATACAATATTTTTTATATATTTTTTTTTGTTTGTTAGGTCACTATAACTAGCATAAAATGCCTCTGATATGTATAAGCATGGCCATTATCATGCTTGATATGTTTAAAAGAGATGGCTACATGGCTTCAACCACTGCATGCATAATCCTACAGAAGACACCCTGTAAAACTGGCTTACAATATACAGGTTTAATCAAGATATAATCCTGAGCCCTAAAGATCATGCTGGAAATATCTAATCACCACTATGGAATGGACCAAATGAGTGTTATTGAGCCATTTGCACACTTAAATCTACACTGTTGAACTTCCTATCCAGTATACTCTACAAATCTAGTCTTCTCATCAGTTTTGGGTGGAGTGAGCATAGCCACAGAAACTTCTGTGGTCTGAGGGCTACTCCGAGAGGATGACGACTGAATCTGACTTAATCTAATCTGAGCTCGTTCCTGGAAACAGAAAATTAACAATTAGTATTCTCATTGGCCTGGAGAGAAAGACTATCAGCAAAATATATAAAAAACATGTGAATATATATGTATATATATATGAATGAATAATAAAAAAAAATAAAAATAAAAATAAAAATCAGTCTTACCAAAGTGTCAAGATCAACTGAGTGTGTCTGAATGTTATGGATGTCATCTTGGGCCACTTGGCTGAAGGACTTCAACTGCATTGGCCCCATTTCATGCACTGTGACTGCAAAAGCTGCCATCCAATCATAGCATGCTTGCATCTCCTCTGTAGAATAACCCGATACTTGACTTGCCAACTGTGGGGAGGTCATGTAGCACATTGCAGTAGCAGCAACTATGCTTGAGCTGAAGGACAAGCTGGAAATCTCAAGGGTACACAGATCCAACAATCTTGCTGCCTGGAAGGAGAAAAGACACAAAATTAATCATTTCAAATATATTGTCTTTCAAGATGATCTCAGAATGGGTATCATCTGCAAAACACACAAAATAAGACAATATGAAGTGCTTACCTGAACAAATGTTAACGGTGAGTAACGAGGATATACAAAACTATGATCATCACTGGAAGATTCTCCACCATTGGCCTCTCGCATGGCGAATTCTTGGCTCAACTGCAGGTATGTGTTTAACCAGCAGTTTGAGGTTACAGGACACAAGTCCCAATTAAGTTTCTGGAACAAAAATTTTAATTAAATAGCTGAATTCTCTACATTTTCAGGTCAAGAAAATAAAACAGCAAACATAATACCAATAACAACAACAACAATAATAATGATAATAATAAGAATTCCAATTACTTTCAAAATAATCCAGTTTTCCCTGAAATATACATTCACCATATCAAACAACTAATTCTTACCTGTAGTATGACTAGCTCTTTTACTAGGATTTCATTTTCTATACAGGCACCATCTGTCACATATGCAAACTCTGACAACTTTGGTGGGTAAATTTCTTCTATTTTTGCAGCTATGAATAAACATGTTATACCTGCAAAATAAGAAATCTGAATTAGAAGAAACAATGACAATACACAAAATGAAAATTTACCAACAGCTATCCAGAATGTATCTAACAACATAATGTAAATATCAACAAATGGTTCTATAGAAAGAAACATTTAAAGAATAAAAGTTGTCAACCTAGGCAATAAATCCACATGTATTATTTATGCTTACCTATAAGCTGTAGTTGCTGTTTGGGTACATCATGTGTAGCACTGAGGTAGCGGTCTATGTAGTCTGTAGCTAGATAATAGGTCTCTCTGTGCAGCCTATATACTTCACACACCTAAAAAATGAATGTATTAATATACAAATACCTTTTTTGTGTGTCAACATCTGAAAATCAGATGTCCATATTTTATATATATATATATATATATATATATATATATATATATATATATATATATATATATATATATATATATATATATATAAAAACACAAACAATACAAATATTCCTTATACGTACTTCTGTCAGCCAATCTAAGAGAATAGCTCTCATGCGCGCTTGAAGAGATGGATGCTGTGAGAGGTAGTCAGGTTGGCGTGCATACATGCGGTCTTTCCGACACATTAGTGTCCACACCTGCCCTCGATCTGCCCAACTTAGTTTTGGCAGTGGTAGTTTTCTGTTGGACTCTGGTGTTGGGATGCAAGTCAAGCCTCTGAATCTGCAAGGAAAAAGCAACTGTAAGAAAGATTCTTTCCAAACCCTTTGCCAACAATTTAATGCTAATTTCCATAACCGAAACACAACCACAACTCTGCTTACTTGTGCCATGTTTCCGGTACAGGGTTATCTGGAGTAATTGATCTTTCTCTTTCTATGTTGAGGCTTGAGGTTACATCACCAAGGGGAAGAGGCTGTAATAAAGTAATAAATAATATTTAGTGGGATATATATTATGCTACATAAAAAAACTGCAATCCAAGCAAACAAACCTGTAGTAACAAGGTATAACAAGGTATGCATATAAATTTGACCTGTTTGAGACATTCACAGTGCACAAACTTAAAGCCACCAAATCTATGCACAGACTTACAAGCCAGTCAAGTTATACATGCAGACAGTTCCCTATCCAAGCTATGCATGATTTGCAAAGTCTCCAAAATTGTGCATGACCAACAACACACTTGCACCCTCCCCAGCTATGCACACACTTGCACCCTCCCCAGCTATGTAGGCACACACTTGCACCCTCCCCAGCTATGCACACACTTGCACCCTTGCACACACTCCCCAGCTATGCACACAACAGCTATGCACACACTTGCACCCTCCCCAGCTATGCACACACTTGCACCCTTATGCACACACTTGCACCCTCCCAGCTATGCACACGCTCACCCAAGCACACACTTGCACAGCTATGCACACACTTGCACCCTCCCCAGCTATGCACACACTTGCACCTCCCCAGCTATGCACACACTTGCAGCTAGCACACACTTGCACAGCTATGCACACACACAGCTATGCACACACTTGCAGCTATGCACACACTTGCACAGCCACACACTTGCACAGCAGCTAGCATGCACACACTTGCACAGCTATGCACCACAGCTATGCACACACTTGCACAGCTATGCACACAGCTATGCAGCACAGCTATGCACACACTTGCACAGCTATGCACACACTTGCACTGCACACACTTGCATGCTATTTGCAGCTATGCACACACTTGCACAGCTATGCACACACTTGCACAGCTATGCACACACTTGCACTCTCCCAGCTATGCAGCAGCTATGCACACACTTGCACCCTCCCCCAGCTATGCACACACTTGCACCCTCCCCAGCTATGCACACACTTGCACTCTCCCCAGCTATGCACACACTTGCACCCTCCCCAGCTATGCACACACTTGCACCCTCCCAGCTATGCACACACTTGCACAGCTATGCACACACTTGCAGCTATGCACACACTTGCTATGCACACACTTGCACCCAGCTATGCACACACTTGCACCAGCTATGCACACACTTGCACCTCCCCAGCTATGCACACACTTGCACAAGCTATGCACACACTTGCACCTCCCCAGCTATGCACACACTTGCACTCTCCCCAGCTATGCACACAAGCATGCACTTGCACTGCTATGCACACACTTGCACTCTCACCAGCTATGCACACACTTGCTGCACACACTTGCTCTCCCAGCTATGCACACACTTGCACTCTTATGCTTGGCTATGCACACTTGCACTAGCTATGCACACACTTGCACCCTCCCCAGCTATGCACACTTGCACCCTCCCCAGCTATGCACACACTTGCACAGCTATGCACACACTTGCACTCTCCCCAGCTATGCACACACTTGCAGCTATGCACACACTTGCACTCTCCCCAGCTATGCACACACTTGCACTCTCCCCAGCTATGCACACACTTGCACTCTCCCCAGCTATGCACACACTTGCACTCACACTTGCTATGCACACACTTGCACTCTCCCCAGCTATGCACACACTTGCACTCTCCCAGCTATGCACACACTTGCACTCTCCCAGCTATGCACACACTTGCACTGCTATGCACACACTTGCACTCTATGCACACACTTGCACTCTCCCCAGCTATGCACACACTTGCACAGCTATGCACACACTTGCACTCTCCCCAGCTATGTTGCACTGCTATGCTACTCTGCACACACTTGCACTCTCCCCAGCTATGCACACACACTTGCACTCTCCCCAGCTATGCACACTTGCACTGCTATGCAGCACTCTCCCCAGCTATGCACACAGCAGCTATGCACACACATGCAGCCTCTAATAGTATGCAGTCCTTGGAGTATCCATGTATGCAATTCTTTCTCAGAGTATGCACAGAACTGCAGCCTCTCTGAGTATAAACAGACTTGCAGTCTCCCTGTGCATGCACAAAATTCCAGTCTCCCCATGTATGCAGTTTCATCCACACAATTATTGCACTGCTACATCCACATAAGATACATCACACATCCATGCAATTTAGGCAGAGAGTTACACCATACAATTTCAGCCATGCAATTCCAGTACATATTGGTATGCACACAGCTTCAACCACAAACTCCCATCCATACAATGCATGCACTGACCTCCATTCTATCTGTGTCTCACACACACACACACACACACACACACACACACACACACACACACACACACACACACACACACACACACACACACACACACACACACACACACACTCACACCACACACACACACACACACTCACACACACACACACACACACTCACACACACACACAACACACACACACACACTCTCACACACACATCTCACACACACACTCTCACACACACACACACACACACTCTCACACACACACACACACACACACACACACACACACACACTGATTTTGGCACTTTTACTCATCATTGAAATGTAAGTGAAAATTATCATAAAACCTTATAATTCAGGATTGTTTGTTTAAAAAATTACTAAACAGAGAAGTGAATATTTAGGTTTCCATATAAAATCAGTTCCAAATACTTAAAGAGGAAAATAAAGGAAGTTCATACCATTTCCGTCGTATCCAATCTGGCCTGTTTTACTTCTTTATTTTCATCTTCATTTTCAGAGTTCTTTCTCTTTCGAGTTCTTAGAATAGCCGGTTTCGTTCTAGTCGAGAGAGTGCCATTTTTAAGCCTGTAAATAACTTAGATTAGCTGAACAGGAATAATAATTATATCTATATTATTGAGAACATCTTCAAATACTGCAATAAGAACCTTAGCTATTGAGAGAACTTAAATGATCCACCTTTACCTTCTCTGATTCTGAGACATGGAGGAGGTGTGTGTTGCTTGTGGGAGAGATCTGGTGATGCTAACAGGGCCTGCAAAGGACATAGGATTTGTTATAACTCATCATGTATCTCCGTTGTATGTATTTGTGATGATATACTGGGCTGCAATAAATAAAGGGCAAATGCTAATCATTTAAAGAAGTTTTGATATGATACCCATTCCCAAAATGGAGGACCACAACCATGCTTGCCCAGGAATGCATATGGCATGCTTTGGTGACAAAACAATTAATTTATGAAATAGATCACTCAACGTGTAGTCAGTGCAACTTATTAAGCTTTGTGAATGCCATTCATCACCAAAAAGGCACAAGAATAAGCAATGCCTAAGAGTCACAGTAAAACAAAATCAAACAAACAAGTACCAATCATGCACAACACATGGTGGAATCAGAAACATATAATAGGTAAAAAATAACCCATCTGGACATCTATACAAGCTTTATACTATACGATATGATGCCTTTCTCGAGTCACAAGATACAAAAATTCACGGAAATGTAACTGACCCTCAAAATTAAATGGCCACATCATACCAAGTCATTTCCCCGCGCAGCAAAGTAAAACGACTTCAAAAGCATTAATGATCTCGCCACATGGAACAACTACAATGCAAAAACTGCAACATGGATGTAGTAGAAGTAGCACCAGGCCAGAAAATGAGATAAATATGGGTGGAAATCAGAACTCGGCGCCAACTTTTGCCCGCCAACCCCGCCTCGAGGACCCCCACCCTTGCACCTCCTCCATCCACTCTATTTAAACAGCTATTCCACTCGCATCCACTTCAGATCTCAGAGCCCATCCACCTGATTCCACCCAATGTGATAAATGTCGCCTGGAAGAGTCCTGTGGCGATTTAAAGCGGGGAAAACGAAGGTCTTTGTGACCCTCTTCAACTTAGGCGGTGTTTGTCTCCCCAGCAACAGGTCTTGTGAACATGTTTCAACCTCTTTGGGGTTTAGTTTCACTTAAAACTCCATCTCAACATTATCATCTCGGTATACCAACCCTCAGGTAAGCCTCAACCACCCGGAAAAAGCCCAAATTATGAGAGAAAAACAACGCGCCAATTCACCCCGGGCAAGAAAACACCCGGGAGATCCCAAGCATCACTTCTCTCCCTCTCTCGCCTCCTCCCATCTGCACTTTTCCTCTTTAAACCATAAGTACTTCATGCACTACACATTTACATTTTTCACTTCCATTCCTCGTTTTCGGTTTTACCTTAAAAAACGGAGGCAATATCCACAGTATCTCAGAGCTCGGCGTACATGGTGTGTTTGGGGCACCGAGGAAGACCTGTGTGAGGAGCTTCGCGCGCGAGGGAGGTGGGCGCCAAAAGCACGTGGGCGGGGCTTAGGCGCCAAGACGGCTTCCGATTGGCTAGTTTGGCGGGTGAGTTGCCGGGAGGGAATTTCGGGTGTTGGTGGATGTAAACATTGGATTTATATTCTCCGAAGGCGTGATGGATTCAAGTTATCTTTGGGTTTTTGAAATGTTCCTATACCATTGACTATAATTAATCTTACCGGATTCAAAATCGAACAGCTGTGCGGGTGTTCGAGACGTATTTTTAGGCGCGAGGGAACAATGACCCTAGCAGCCATTGGAATGCGAGACGTCGTTGCCGTTAGCCCATTGGTTACAAGATCTTACGTCACTGCGCGCCAAATATGAAATTTCAAGCTGGCTCACCAGCTGATCGGACAAACATCAAATTGATGGTAAAAGGTGCGCAAAATAAGCGCGCGACTTTCTATGTGTTTATAGAATAATTTCCTTACAGACATATATCATATATCATTAGTTCGCATCAGTATGAAGTGCTACACAGTTCTATTTTACATTTTCCTTCTAAGTTACCCTATAATATAAATCTATGCCTCACTTCCCCGCCGCTTAAAGCCGAAACACAGGGAAGCGACTTCTGCCCCTTCTTTGACACAGAACTTTCATAAAAATGGGATGATAATTAACAACTAGATAAATAATCTATGGTGAATCGAACTAGATCACTGCTTACGAGTTCATAATCTGCAAGATGTCACTTATCACAACAGTAGGTCCACTTACCGCAAGTGATTAAAAACTGTTGTCCATGAAGACTGTGAAGTAATATATCCGGTATGGTTTTCGATCCCATGGCAGAGAGGTTATTCCGTTCGGGGTGACACGACCAAAGGTACTGAGCTCCCTCGCTCTGACCTGGGTGTAGCCTGACCGTCCCGGTGTGGGGCATCCCATGGGGAGGGGTGAGGACCTGAGACATGGGGGGAGTTAAGGGGGGTGGGGGTAAACCGCGTCTCCCACGACCCATGGCGCGGTAAGCCCCTACCTCCCTCCCCTCTCCCCTCGCCTTCCCTATCGCCGGTAACGCTACTCCTGACGTTACAGATACCCGACTTTCCCGCGCCTTAGACAGCACTTTCCTATCGGCATGTCCTCTTTCGGAAATGTTTACATTAACCTAAAACTATGGCCTACCGATCATTTCTTTAGAATTAATGTTTAATAATGATGTGGAAATGTGTCTGCTGTTCGGTGGTTCTTCATTTAATTATTTTTCTGAATTTCTACTAAGGTGTAAAGGACGTTATATTATCTGAAAGCAACAGATCGGGTAACCTCATGTGACCTAACGGATTATGACCTGAAAATAACTTGTGAAATAGTGTTTATACAGCGTCAAGAAATCCAGAACCTCATGAAGCCTCGGCTAAAAAAAATCAATACTTTCACTATAAATCCACTTCCGTTAACCAAATTTCCCATGGGGATTCCTCGAAGCACAACTGAAGAGAAAATAAAATATACCCACGGAAGCAAAAATCATCAAGAGAACATCACCCGGGAATAAAATATAATACGAAAATGCTAGCACTAATGTTGCCGCCGTAAATAAATTAACTTCAGGACCTGACGGAGATCGGGGCGTTTTGGCGGGCAGTTTTCCCGCTTTTCCCGAGTGCAGCTGGAGCCTCGAGGGGTCTAACCATCGCCCAACCCCGCTCAGAGTGAACTCCCTAATACATATTCCAAAATTAGATTACTTTCATATCGCATTTCGTTCTTTCCCCTAAAGCGACGCAGATTCTATAACAAAAAGACGCATATGAAGTTGTTCAGTAGGTAAGGGGTGGTACCTTAAGCGGGGTTTGGCGCGTGAATGCGTGCACGCGCCAAGCGGCCACCAGAGTACAACAGGTGACTTAAGCCACATCTGATTCCCGCCACACAATATTCCGCGCCAAGCTTTCTCGTTTGGAAAGTAAATGATACGATATAACACATGCGCTGGATAAAGCAGAAGGCGGAATGCTGAATGAGCTTTTCTTACTGGGATTGACCTAGCGTTTTTACCGACGGGTATTCTTCGGCAAAACAGCCAATAATGTATATGAACATAAAAAAGGCATGGCGTGTGTATTTGGTAATTAGCAGACTAAAGTTCTCGGATCAAAAGTATGAGGATATAAGACCTCCTATCTGTCACAAGCCATTACCATCTATGACAATATTTAGATGTCCATTGATGCAACGACCATAGCTAATAGGTAAAGCAATAT